AACATTCACAACCTGACTGATTATTTCATGTGGGTAATGGAGGATTTGGTTAAGCTTCAATTTTTAATTCAGGTTCGTTTTTGCCGCAATGTTAGTACCAAAACACAAGGTTTCTTTTACAACGTACACTTTCACACATACACGGAAACTTACACACTTGACCCCGTTTTTGAATCAACCTAGTACGCCGCGATTTTCACCCTAAAGCTTGCGTTTTAGAGCTGCCGAATAAAGTGACTTGACAAATGCCTTTCAAAAAGGTCTATACGTTGTCACCAAAATCTTGTGTTCTGGTACTCACGTTGTGGCTATAACAAAGCTGATTGTATTGTAACGGTGCTTTCAATTTAAGCGGGCCGTTTTCACATCAGACAATCCTAGAACTTCATCGAATCGGAGGAACGAAGTTTTGCGGCCCCAAACCAACGCAATATGCTTACGATATCGACATGCAACTTCAGTCAAAATAATGTGGCATATCAGCTAACTTATTAGGATTATTAACAAACAAGTTCGGTTTACGCCTCAAAAGTATTTTTTCTCTTTGCGTTGACTGCCTCACGTTGAGACATCTACTTTGTTGGAAACGTTGGTGTCAGTTCATTAGCTCTCTTTAATTTAAAATTACCCCTACTATGTTGCACTGATGACAAGGCGCATTTTTCAATACCTTCCCACATTTCAGGAAACCCTAACCAGCGGTATAAGTAATAACGCAGGTGCTCAATATCCAATAGCCACCACTCAGTATTTTTCAATTCCCAATACTGAATCACTTAGTTCTTGACCGATGTACCGCTTGACCTTGGGCCAGCCAAGGTGCTAAGGTTTTCCTGAACGAACGAGCTTTCACTTAGCGTTAGGCAAAACTGAAATCGCTTATTAGTTTGATAGTCATTGTGAGGAAGGCACGCATATGCCAGCAATCCAAGACGGCGTTAATTGACATCGAAATATGCAAGTGCCCAACATTCACAGCAAAGCAGGATTTGAAAGAAATGTTGAATCAATTCGGTGATTTTTAGATCTCCTTAGCCGAATCACTTGGTATTTCAACAAACGCTGTTACCTATGGAACGATCGAGTAATTCGTCAACACTGGAGTCTGCTAGGTAAGATCGCGAATGAAAAACAAAAAGTATGCAGTTAATACAGTTATTCAGGAGATCTCTGTACGGTTTGTTGCTGCGAAGGCAAAAACGGTGTATTTCCCATAGTAAAGGACATCCTCTGTGGGAAGGCAATCAAAGTAGCACAACGAAGGCATCATAGTAACTTCAAGGCCTAAAAAGTTTGGTTTTGCTCTTGGTCAGACAGATGTGGTAATCGAACCTTAAACTTAAGTGACAAGCAACTACCCAAGTTTTCTGGTACCAGATGATGCGTTGGACAAATTCCAAACGGGGTGACCGCAATTAATCTACGAACATCCTGATCCTGATATTTTTAGTGCCACCGAGACAGCTTCGTATTAGCAGTATCTCTCAGAAAAAACATCAATTCACACGTCTTTGTTATTTTGCGTTGTATTTCCCATTGCAATCAGGTATGATCATGCCAAACAAGAAATGCAGATTTTTTGTTTGTCAAAATGACTTCAAGTGAAGTCAAGTCAAACTAAGCTTTATGCACCCGACCGGTGAATGTTCAGCGATGATTTGTGTTTAAGTGTGCTGAACCTTGCAAACTTTTCATCTACTGGTACTCTTTTCAGCAACATTGTGAAATATGTTGTGAGAGATAAAAACGTTCGATCTTCTGAATTTATAACTGGTACAAGTTCTTCGTCCCAAACGTCTCGAATTGATCTAGGAACGGAACATTTAGACCTGCGAGATGACTTTGGATTGCCATGAGGTAATCTCACCAGGAAAATCTCCGACGTGATTTTGATCACTAGTGTTTTACAAGACAATATTAAAGATGATCTCCTGTTCACGCTTTTCGAATTTACTCACAAATACGCAATATTGTATGACTATTCAACGACTTTCATTTGTCCCCATTCACCAATGAGTGGTCCGCGAATTTATCCCTCCATTCCCTAAAACTATTTCTTATAACTATCAAAACTGAGAAGTGAATTTACCGGTTACACTTACTTTGGCCGCACCAAGCCAAATGGCCACAAACGCTGGACAGGAACGAAGCAGAAGATAAAGCCGATCGCCTCGTTTAAATCCCTCACGAAGCAGAAGATTGGCTACTTTGTTAGAGTAGGCATCCAGTTGCCCAAATGACCACTGTTGATCCTCATAGAACATGGCCACAGCTGCGTTGCCACGGGTTTGGACAACTTTCGAAAACATATCGGAGAAAGTTGGCTTGGTTCGAACCATTCGTTTTGTGTCCCTCAGCATGCGAATGAGACACCACAGACCGCTGTATAGACATTTGGGCGACGATAGGTTCAATGTGATTAGAGTTTGCAACTTATTCAGTTTTGAATGTTATTGCAGATTTTCATCATATTTTCCGGAACACTTTAATTTCGTATGACACGTCATTGGGTGATGTTCAGTGGAGGGACAGTAAGACCAAACTCAATAAAACACTGTTAAGGTATTGACATTAACAAATGCTTCATGAAGTTGGGAGTAGGAAGCGTTGAGGCATCATTAGAATACACCTAGACATGATCCAGCTTACAACAAAACTGAATGACGCTGCTAGGGATCGTAACTGAAATATGACAGCTACTCCTAAAAGTGTTAACTCAATAGAAACTCAAGTAATCTGATCAATACCATCACAAAATCTGAGAGCGAATAAGGCCTTTATTCACCACAGCTGAAAACAGATCCACAAAGTTCTCTATGTAACAAAATAATTAAAAATGAATATTTTTAAAGCAAACCTCAAAAATTGACTTTACAGGCATCATCAAATAAAACTTCAAGTGCTAGAAAATGAATAAATTCCACCATCGATAAGCGATAAATAAATTGGAAGTAAGTAACAGCAATATAACGATCGATTGGTGATATATGAATGACATCTGTTCTAATGCGTATTTTAGGAATCAATTGTATAAAGGATATGCGAAATCAGCAGAAAACGAAAAGCACCATTGAAATTGCTTAGCATGGAACGCTTGTTTTCTCCACAATTATTGCAGTTTTCATACAAAGTTGACAGGTACCACCCAAGCGAAGTATTTTTCCTGATTATTGTTATAAGTTGAATGAAACAAGTAACGCAATATGAGCAGAATTGATATTGAACATCAATTTCGTGTGGTCTCAGTCAGCTGGCTACACACATTAAATGGGTCAAATTCTATCATAAGAATACCATATATGGACATTTGAAAAAGTACGCACGAAATTTACTCGATACTCGACACTGCATCGACAAACGCAAAGCTTTCCGCGTTGTGCTCAAAGTTCGAAGCCCAAGGATGCTTAGGTTTGCTGAAGCAGTAGTCATTACCGTTTACAGCCTGAAATATGCGTGCAAAAGGTCTTTGTTATGCAGTTGTTATTAACATGGTAATTCCCCTCCCATTTCCTTATATTTTCAACCGTTCCCTGACATCATCGTTGACACTTCGCTCTTCCCATTTTCTTATTACGTAACTCTCTTCGACCTACTTTGTGAAACAATTTTTTCTTTTAATCGGTTAACTTTCTGCGTCTATTCGAATTCATTTCTGGTTGTATATTTTTGTATTATCGTGTCATATCCAATTCTCTTTCGACCATTGCTAATCGGTATCAATTACGTAACTCTTTCTCTGCTAAAATTCCACACCCCTCCCAATCTTCTACCCATATTCAAATGAATTTGGAGATGACTCAACCACTCAGTGCATTCTGCTTGACCCCATGCAATTATAGGTGGCCATATATGGTACACTCATGATAAAATTTGACCTAATTATTCTTCGTAAACAGCAATTAAGAGAATGCAAAATTGATGGTCAATATCGATTCTCCTCATATAGTGTTCCTTGTTTTATTAAAAGCGATCAAAGGGAAAGGAAGTTTCCGCTATGATTATAATGTTCTTTTAAGAACACATTCAAAAAGATTTATAAATTCAAAATAGTGATTCCTTATGAAAATAATCAAAGCCAACCCTCTATAAATTATACCTTCTTCGTAGATTTTTTACGCTACAAACGTAACTCTTTGTTCGATTATATGATTGTGTTGTAAAATACT